GGGCACGGCCAGCTGCGTGGCCAGAGATCAGCTTCGTCAGGCTATGCAGCAAGACCCTGAGTCCGCTGAAGACGATGAAAGACTCATCCCTCGTGCAATGCGGTTCCTCTCCCAGTACGGATTTCACGTCACCACAGGCACGGACCGTACGGTGGGGCGGATCCTAGATCAGCTGGCTGCACGGCATAGGATGACGCCGTGTCCCCTCGTCGGATTGTACCGACCTGCATTGGCACGTGCTGCGGCTAGCTTTTGCAGAGTGGGTCACCAAGCCAATGCCATTCGTCGAGCTGTGGCGTCGCTGCGTAGCAGCGGTGTCCCGCCTGCAAGGTGGAGTGATCCGGCGGTGTGGACCCCCCTGTTGCAAGGGACACGTCTGGATGCTGCCAGCTGCGCGGCTGCTGCGGAGGCTGCCCCACAGCAAGCAGAAACAGACTGGGCAGCTGAAGCAGCTCTCTTTGGCGGGCACGTTTCGGAGGATCTTCCGGAAGATTGGCCGGAGTCGGCGTGGAGTCAGCCGCATCTGCCTGCGCCGCGAGTTGCAGGCTTGGCGGCGATCTTTCCACATGGGTTCCCCCCCTCTGACTATGCACTGTATAGTGATGGAGGAGACAGCGGCGGTGTTTGCACTTATAGTGCTCAAGCACGGGCCTTTGGCCCGCTAGGAGGTTACTGGGAACGTAGCCGCCAGGCCTCGGTGCCCATTCTTGGCCGACTCCCGGAACGTTACGGGTATGAAGCCTCTGGGGTTCACCTGGCAGAGTTTGTGGGTATGCTGTGCGCCCTGCGGTGGCGGCGGCCGGGAGACTGGAATTTGCTCGTATGTGACCGCTCTGCGCTTTTTGCAGCACTCCGCCGAAGCCACTGCCCTAGCCGGTGGGCGCACTTCCCTTTGGAATCTGTGCTGCGAGCTGTTCTGGATCACTTGCAGCGGTCCTGGCGAGGCGGTCGCTTTACGCCTTCCTGGAGATTGGACGTGGAAACTCATCCGGAGAAGTGGAACGTGCGACGGGAGCATCAGGGCCACACGCGAACAATGGTGCAAGTTGCCTTTGATGAGCATGGCCTGGTAGGCGTGGATGTAAAAAGCCACCAGCAAGGCGACCCATGCCCGTATCCTGTCATCATCGAGGGAAATGAGCAGCAGGATGAGGGCTGCAGACAGGCAAGGCTCAGACCTAAACCCTAAACCCTAAACCCTAAACCCTAAACCCTAAACCCTAAACCCTAAACCCTAAACCCTAAACCCTAAACCCTAAACCCTAAACCCTAAACCCTAAACCCTAAACCCTAAATCGGAAACGCGCCCCTCATATTAGTGGACTTAATGCGGGGAAGTCCGGCTTTTGGGAGTAGCCGCCAGCCTCCTCCTTCCTTCGTGCCACAACTGCTTTATCCTGCTCTGCCCCCATTCAAGTCCTTGTGGGGTTTCTTCCAAAAAGGGGTCCTATTTTGGGCCTTCAAAGTAGAGAACTCTAAATCCCAAACCCCTAAACCCTATTCCCTAAACCCTTTGCCCACATGGCATGTCATGGCCAGGGGAAGCCTTGGTGAGGGCTGAAGTTAAGATCGAGCAGTCTGCGAAGGAAAAGCGCTAGTAGGCGACCGTCTTCAGAACCGCCGGATGGCTGAGGGTTTAGGGTTTAAGGTTTAGGGTTTAGGGTTTAGGGTTGGGCTTTCGGGCTATATGGGCAGCCTTGTTGAGAAGCATCGTTCAGTGAAGACGGTTGCAAACTCGCTCGTTCCCCTGCCGCGCAGAGCTTGCGCTTTGCGCACCGAGCCCGGCCACTCGTTGAAGGATGCCGCCACGTGGCAAGCCCGGCGACTCCAAAACCCCTTAATTAAGGAATATACTTTAACTTAGAATCGAAACCCTATAATATGATTTGAGGTATATTCCTTAATTAAGGGATTTTGGAGTCTCTGGGACTCCGATTCGCGTTTGAAGTGTTTCCCTGGTGTAGTTCCGGCCGGGCTCTCGCAGCCATAAGTAGGGACACTTGCTCCTGCTACCTAGTGGCATTTGACCAGGATCCCAGCACCGGGCCCGAGTGGAACCCGAAACCTTACACCCTGAATCTTAAACATTAAACCCTAAACTATAAATCTAAGCCATATAATTTTGTTTAAATTCTTAAAACTCAAAAGAGTGCCCGTGTCGTTTTTTAAGTGACAACTGGGTTATAGAAAGATGGCCATTAAGCTGAGCGGTTAGAGCGGCATGAGAAGCCCGGCCTGGCTGCTTCAATCCGTGGGAACGTTGCAGTCTAGCTCAGAGTTTAGGGGCCTGGAGTTCAGAGTCTAGGGTTTAGTTAAACCCTAAACCCTAAATTCCAAACTCTAAACTCTAAACCTTGAACCCTAAACCTTAATCTCTAACTAAACCCTAAACATTAAAACCTAAAGCCTAAACCCTAAGCCCTAAATCCTGAGCTTCAAACCCTACACCTGGGTCTGTCAGAACCAAAACCTTTACTCAAAATCAACGGCAGTCTGTTTAGAATTTCGAGGTTTTGTTTCGAGCAAACAGCAATAGTAATGTCATCAGCCGGATAATGTAGAGTTTAGGATTAGAAAAGACAGTAATTAACTTAGGAATGAATACTGCTATAATACAGAGAAAACACTATTTAGTTTAGGATATAAGAAAGGGATCAGAGCCTGAGCTAGACCAGCGACACTGGAGGGGTGAAGTTCTGGAGGTGAGCCTTTTTTTTTCAATGTGAAAAGATAAGAGGTTAAGCGCGCGAGGTTCCACAACCTCTTGGGTTTGCACACCTATCCTTAACCCCTAGGAGAGTGCCTGAACTCTTACTGAAGTTTGCTTCATTCACGAGCCCCCTGCTTATAACCTTCCCCGCGGATTGAATCCCTAAGCTAGTAAATTTCACCGAGGAGGGTTGGCAGTTCTTGGGATGTCCGGATTAGAGGGGATATGGCCAGTAATAAATTTACGCAGCGTTGCTGCCGCTCTGATGTTGGCAAGATGTTTTTTTGAAGGCAGACTGATGTTGCTTTGAATGTTTTTGGCTTGTGGGTCCTGCAGACTTGCGCAGTTGCCTGAGCTGATTACTCGTCGTCCTATCTCATTGCGTGTGTCTGTCCATTATAAACCTTGTTCATCCTGTCTGCGCTGCACCACAGCAAGGGGTGGTAATCCCTACTCCCCTCCTGCGCTTTGTTTTCGTTTAAGCCCTTGTGCCTTAGACCTCGACGGGAATCTTCCGGGTTGGGTTGAAATCAGCGCTGCCAGTCACAGGCACAGGCTGGGGGGGCCGCGGGTTTAGGTTTTTTTGTATTACGCGGAGCGGTCGGCGTGGTGGCGTGAAATGCCCTTTGCGTCAGCAGATTTGTATTTTCGCAGAAAATTCAAAAAAAAATTTTGCGGCCAAATCCACCAAACCAGTTCAGGGCCACCAAACCAGTCTCCAGCCAAATTTCCAGACCCGCGGCCCCCACCACCGGCCCCCGCCCCCGACTCTCCCCGACTCTCCCCGACTCTCCCCGACTCTCCCCGACTCTCCCCGACTCTCCCCGACTCTCCGGCCCTTGCCTCCTTTCTAATCACCTCTTGACCCCCCCTGCCCCCCGACTCTCCCCGACTCTCCCCCGACTCTCCCCGACTCTCCCCGCCTTTGGCTCTCCCCCGACTCTCCCCGACTCTCGCGCGATCCCCCGCCGCCGAAAAATCCCCAAACACGCGTTCCGTGATTGGTTTTCGCGGTTTTCGCGGTTTTCGCGCGCTGCTCCGGAATTTGTGTGTCCCGAGGTTTTTGCTGGCTGACATCCTGTCCCGTCTGCTTTTGCAGACAGAACAGTGGGGCGTACTCTCAAAGTTTCGTGATGTGCCTGGTCTGCCTGGTGCCCAAGTGCTATGTCGTTGTGGCTTGTAGGCTCGGTCTGACACGTGCAGCGGCGTTGCGCTGACCTCATGCTGAGTACGAGCTTGCGTCTTGTAACTTTCCACAAGCGCAGCCAGATAAGTGATGCTTATGTTGTGTGGGCCGGATAAATGATGTTCGTGTTGTGTGCCTGTGGGTTGCTGGGTGCCGGGTTTGCAAACCGTTCGTGCGCAAAGAGCAACTTGAGCTTGGCAGCGCCTTTTGAGATAATAACCTGCGAACGCTTTTGTTTCGGCAGAAAGAACGACGTGATGCGCTGGTCATGTCCCTGGGTTTTGGGATTACTCTTTAAGCCGAATTTGCCGACCACGGCGAAAATTGCTACCCTAAGCTTCGTAAGCTCTGAGAGTCTTCTAGTTTTGGATATAATACAACCACACCATCAAAGAAGCATTCTATTAACTCATGATTCTCTACACATCATACTTCTAGAATTGATTGCGTAGTATTATTTCCTTGAAGAGATATTAATATTAAATGATATTTATATCTTTTTTTAATGGCTTTGTAAAAACTAAGCCAAAAGAACCCGAAAGGTCTCAGGCTCATACATATATATATATATGTATGTATGTATGTCTGTATGTATGTATCTGTTTCTTATGTAAATGTACACACATCTGTGCATACATAAATCTATCGGGGAGAGTTTCTGAAGATAGCAGAATAATAATGTTTTGAGTGCTCATGAAAGCGAGGCGCATGAACAACACAGTATTTATAAGAGAACGCATTGTTTTTTCCCGGGTCAAAAGACGGGGTTGGTTTCACATACCACAAAATCATGGGACCTTCATAAATTCACTGTCATTTCTAGGGTTCTTGAACTGCATTACAAGGAGTTTTGATGGGAAAGGGGAAAAGTACTACATCACTAGCTTCTGGGCCGTGCCCTCCAACAAAACTCGTGCCCCGAAGACGCTACATCCTCGACACTACTGGCTGGTTCTGAGCACGGAATGAGGGAATGAGCACCCTATATATATATATATATACATTTATACATATATATATATATACCATTTAACGGATTACACAGGGCCCTCATTCCCTCATTCCCTACTAAGAACCAGGAAGACTAAGCCCCTCCATCCCAAGGCATCCAGCGAGTCTTACCAGTGCTTCTTCCGCGCGGCTCTGTCACAGGCACGCTGACTTCGCAGGCTTCCGGGGTTGCAGGTTGTTTTAAAGGTTAGGCGTTCTGCTTCGTAAGCAGGGGGGGAGGGCGGGGAGGGGGGGGTCTTGCTCATCAGGGGGGAATTTTGGGCACTCCATTGGCAGCCGTTAGAGCTGGGGTTAGTAGCGTAACTCTAGGTACAGCTGGTTATCACCTGATTTGGGGGTCTTCTTAGGCAATTTCCGGTTTCCGGATCATAAGAGGATTACGGCATTTACTTTTGGTAGGGGGGCTCCCCTATTTTGGGAAGTCCTAAGCCCTACACCATCCTTCAAGCGAATGCCATGACCCTGCCTGAACCCTCCCTAAACCCCAAACCCCAAACCCCAAACCCCAAACCCTACCTTGTACCAACACCACCCCCAAACCAGGGCTTCCCCTTAATCCGAAACCCCAAACCATCAGAGCTTCCAGCCTCTCTCTCTCTCTCTCTCGCTTTCTTTCGAACATATATATATATACATACAAAGAGAGAGAGGGAGAGAGAACCCTAAACCCTACACCTTAAATTTCAGCCCCTACTCCCCAAACCCTAAACCCCAAACCCCAAACCCTAAACCCCAAACCCTAAACCCTAAACCCTAAGCCCTACACCCTAAACCCTAAACCTAAACCCTAAACCCCAAACCCCAAACCCCAAACCCCAAACCCCAAACCCTAAACCCTAAACCCTAAACCCCAAACCCCAAACCCTAAACTCGACCCGGAGGCTGCTTCGAGGGGCCCTGGCAAGGTCCTCCTCCTCCCTGCCGAGGTTCTGGGCATGGCTTGGGGTAGAGGTCGTGTTGGGCTCGCGCGGTTAGGGTTTAGGGTTTAGGGTTTAGGGTTTAGGGTTTAGGGTTTAGGGTTTAGGGTTTAGGGTGTAGGGTTTAGGGTTTAGGAGTTAGGGCGGAAGTGCTTGGGTGTTTCTTTCGGCGCTTCAGGCAGTGTCTGGGGCTCCTGCCGGAAGGATCGCTTGCCGCTACAGCCCTGAAGGTTTCCAGCGAGCCAAGCAATGTCCCCCAAACTATGTTGGAATCCTTGGTATGATTTCAGGTCCAAACCCTAAACCCTAAACCCTAAACCCTAAACCCTAAACCCTAAACCCTAAACCCTGAACCCTAAACCCTAAACCCTAAACCCTAAACCCTAAACCCTAAACCCTAAACCCTAAGGGCTATTGGGCTCTTTGGGTCCCTTAAGCCCTGTGGGTGGTCACCCGGAGAGCCTCCCAGGATAACTGGTGCCTCAGAGCACTTGATGAGGCCCTGGCGCAGGCAAGAGAGGCCAGGGGGCACTGCCCAAAGCACACAAAAAACCCTCAAGCCAAACAACAACCCTTCAAATCCCAAAAAAGCCCAAAAGCCCCAAGAACCCTAAGCTCCAAGCCCCAAACCCTCAGCCTGAAACCCCAAACCCCGAGCCAGGACCCCAAAGGCCCCCCGAAAGTCGCTTGGGCCGAGGGGTTCGACTTGGAGGTTCATTGTACTCATTAACCAGCTATAACTGACTGTACTTATCACCATATGAGGGCACTTAAGGAGCTTATAAGTGAGTGATAAGCACAGTTATAAAGGTTACTAAGTACCATGAACCTCCAAGGACCACGTTTGGCTAAGATTGTTTGGGGAATGTCGGGCATCCTGGAGCCAGGTGCGGTTCAGGGTTTAGGGTTTAGGGTTTAGGGTTAGGGTTTAGGGTTTAGGGTTTAGGGTTTAGGGTTTAGGGTTTAGGGTGAAGCCTGAAGCCCCTTAAACCTGGCCTGAAAACCCCTTTCTCCCTGGACCACAGCCTGGCCCGTACTTTTTTTGCCACAGCATCCGATGGACGCATGGCCTTTCCCGCACCCTTCCAGCCCCCAGCACCGACACCGTGAAGGATGCGCTCGCGTGCGCTGGGGTCGGTTAGTACTTCACCGGACGCATCGGGCGCTGATGGAGAGTAAGTACACGAAGCCCTGATCCCGAGCCAGAACAGAAGGGTGCGGAGCTCCGTGCGCATTGACGCAGACGTCTTCAAGGATGAGATGCGGTCGGCGACAAGGGACGGTGTGCGGGCCATTGCAGCTTGATCCGCAGACCGCCAGGTTCGGCGACTGCAAGCGCTTTGGGAATGTGAGCTATTGGCGGCCGCGACATGCCGTACAGATCTGGTCGTGTGGCTTGTGGGGACTTTAGTTGAGAGAGTCGTATTCCACTTTGTCGTGTTTGCTATGGACCCGGTTAGCAGCTAGTGATGTTTCGCCGGGAGCCCCCAGGTGTCAGAGATGTAAACCTTAAGACCTTAAGACCGCGCACCTGAACCACAAACCTTCTACTCTAGACCCCCCAAGCCTTCAACTTCAAACCCCAAACATGAACACTTTAAACCTTGACCTTTAAAGGTCAAACCCTAGATCTTACGCCCCTTCATGTCTCACCCCATCCCCCCGGGTGTTTCTGACACCTCTTTGCCAGGCCGTCGAGGTCTTCGTGCCCATGAGGTGGGGCGGCTCGGGCTCTTGAACCCTGACCTAAACCCTGAGCCCCGAGCGCTCATGATACGTATAGCAGTGATCAGCAGATTACTAGTGACAGCAAGAGTGGTATGTGAGTAATAGTAGAGGCCAGAGTACTAATGACAACAAGAAGGGTATAGGAACAACGGCGAGAAGAAAGGCCATGATGATGGGCTGCTCTCAGCGCCGCCGAGGTCGAAAGCCTTGGCCAAACTCAGGGCGCGAGGGCAGTGGCCGGATGGTGAGGCCCTTGTCCTTTCAGACTGACCAGTGCTGGGGCGCCGTTGTGTGGTGGGAGAACCCCCCCCCCTCCTCCCCCTCGCACCAGCGCAACAAGGACCGCTCAACCCTAATTAAGCCCGAAGCCCCACATTGACATGCTTTAGATCACTTTAGATCCGTTGGATTTCGGGGATTTCGGGGTTGAAGGGCTCAGGCCAGCACAGGGGTCCGAAGCCAGGGGTGCGCTCTCGGGGAAGCTGCTAAGCATGCGCATGCGTGCGAGTTCTCACGTCGACCCCGTTCTTTCCTACAGTTGCTGCGTTGTCTTGCTGTTGAAGCTTAAGCCGTTAAGCCTTAAGCCCCAAACTCTAAACCCTAAACCCTAAAAAACTCTAAACTCTCAATAAATCCTAAACCCTAAACCCTAAACCCCAAGTCCTAAACCCTAAACCCTAAACAGCCCTAAGTGGAGCGCCGGGGATGCCCGCCAAGCCCACATGAGCCCTCCAGGTCTTCAGGCGGTGGAGCCGGGCGAGGCCATGGCTTCGGTGGGTGAGGGTTTAGGGTTTAGGGTTTAGGGTTTAGGGTTTAGGGTTTAGGGTTTAGGGTTTAGGGTTTAGGGTTTAGGGTTTAGGGTTTAGGGTTTAGGGTTTAGGGTTTAGGGTTTAGGGTTTGGGGTTTGGGATTTAGGGCTTGGGGTTTAGGGTTTAAGTGGGGCTACAAGTAAGGGAGCTATACTTATAACCGATTATAGCCTTATGTAGGGTCCTACTTAGGGCTTTAGGGGGCTTAGGGGGGTGTAGGGAATATAGGTGGTTTAGGGAATTTGGGGAAATTTAGGGGGTTTAGGGAATTTGGGAAAATTTAGGGGGTTTAGGGAATTTGGGAAAATTTAGGGGGTGTGGGGTATTTAGGAGGTCGAGGGGGTTTAGAGGAGGTTTCAAATCAGCCACAGGCAGGGGAGGACTATGTTGCGACCGTGCTGGAGCCATTCGCCGCCGGAGAGGCACGAGGGTAGGGGCCTAGACCCTAAACCCTAAACCCTAAACCCTAAACCCTAAGCCCTAAACCCTAAACCCTAAGCCCTAAATTCTAAACCCTAAAACCCTAAACCCTGAACCCTAAACCCTAAACCCTAAAGCCTACACCAGGACCAACTCATGTCCTCAAGCCCTGAACTTACAACTCTCATCAGCAGCACATCTCCAAGATACCCAAGGGCTTAGGGGTTTCAGTGTGCTTCGGGTTTCGGGTGTTGGATGTCTTTGGGGGGGGGGGGGGGTTTAGGGCTTCAGGGGTTTTGGGGGTCTAGGGCTTCAGGGGAGCTGATTCTTGGGTTTTGGGCTTCAGGGTGGGGGGTGTAGGGTGGTTTCGGGGGTTCAGGGTTAAGGGTTTAGATGGGTTTAGGGTTTAGGGTGACTCCAAGCCGATTCACAAAACGCCCAAGCCGCCCAAGCACCCGAAACCCTCAAACCTGAGCCCAAACCTCAAGAGCCCTTGCCCTAGACCCCCCCCAAAACGGCCTAAACCCTAAACCCGAATTCGACCTGAACCTTAAAATGGTCCTGAACCTGAAATAGACCTAAACCCTAAATCGCGATAAACCCTAACCCGAAACCCTAAACCCTGAACCCTAAACCCTAAACCCTACACCCCTAAACCCCAAAACCCTAAACCCTAAACCCTAAACAGCCCTTAGGCCGCTTTTGAAGCAGGCCAGGCCCTGGTGCCTCGCCGCGGCGCTGCGGCGCCGCGGGGCGCCCGGCCCGACGTCGCCGGCAGGCGCGACGTCGGGTTTAAGGTTTAGGGTTTAGGGTTTAGGGTTTAGAGTTTAGGGGTTTGGGGTTTGGGGTTTCGGGTTTGCGGTTAAGGGTTTAGGGTTTAGGGGTTTCGGGGCTTAGGGCTTAGGGTATAGGGTTTAGGGTCTGTTCTTTTTGGGTTTTGGTTTGTTTTTGGGTTTAGGGGATATAGGGTTAAGGGTTTAGGGCCATTTTTTTGGCTTTGTTTTTTTGGGGGGGCTTTGGGGTCTAAGTTTTTAAGTTTAGGGTTTCGAGTTTCTTGTTTCTGTTTCATGACTGAGGGTTTATTCGTTTCATCGGGGAACCCCTTAAGCTGAAAACGAAAGCCTCAACGTGAATTTGGAGATGTTTCTTAATCAAGAGTATTAGGCTTTTTGAGGGTTCAGTGTTTAGGCCTTCCCGTGGAATCCGTGTTTTTTGTTCCGCACACGCAACAACAAAGCACCCGCAACAAAGCAAACAAACAACTCTTACCGGCCTTCCCGTTTGTGTTGTTCTTTGCTTCAGTTGCACATACTCATGCGTATGCAACGGAACTTAAATCGCGGGGGAAAATTATTTATGCATATCGATATTTTGCATATCCAGCTATATAAACAGACAACCCGGGGCCGAAAATTTGGGCGCCCCCCTGTGTCCCCACCCCAGGCCTCTGCCGCCTACTCGATCCCTGTCCCAGGGACCCATGTAGCGTGTGCAGTTTCTGGTACGTAGGCCTTCTGCACATGCTCCTCGCTTCAAACCCTAAACCCTAAACCCTAAACCCTAATTGAAAGCAAACGATATCAGATTCAGAGCTCAGGGCTCGACCCCCCGTAGACCGTCCGCATCTTGAAGCCGGCCGGATGCATGTGCGCCGAAGCCGACACCAAGTGCGTGGCGTGCGAAGCACGTACGTGTGTCTAGTATATATATATATACATTCATATATCTATATATGTGTATTTGTGCATATGTATATGTATATGTATATGTATATGTATATGTATATGTATATGTATATGTATATGTATATGTATATGTGTTTTTTCATGAATAAATACGCTACCCCCTCCTCTTACCGTTGTGGCACTGCGGAAGCGCGGATGTGCACAACGCGTTTTGAGGCAGATGCCTCACCCTTCTTCACCCGCTGGATTGCTTTTAAGTCCCGCTTGGGATGTTATACTAACAGTCCTTAATAGGGACTCTAGTACCCGCCTATTCTTTATCCGCATTAAGGACTGTTAGTATAAGGGGGAACATCCCAAGTCCCACTTGTACTTTGTCTAACAAACAAGATGACCTTTTCACCATTGATGCGAATGAAGTTGCAGCTCTGAGTCGTAAACAGACGGGCCCGTTCTCAGTAGGGCTTGATAAAGAAGGCAAACAACAAAAGCCGTTTCACATCTCCACCCTAAACCCTAAAACCCTAAGCTCTAAACCCTAAACCCTAAAAACCCTGGGCCCTAAACCCTAAACCCTTAACCCTAAACTTTGAACCCTGAGCCCTAAAAACCCTGAACCTTAAAAACCCTGAACCCTGCAACCTAAAAACCTGAAACCCTAAACCCTAAAACTCTAAGCCCTAAACCCTAAGCCCTAAGCCCTAAAGCCCTGAAACCCTAAACCCTAAACCCTAACACTCTAAACCCTAAACCCTAAACCCTAAGCCCTAAACCCTAAACCCTAAACCCTAAACCCTAAACCCTAAACCGTAAACCCTAAACCCTCTACCCTCTAAAAACCCTGAACCCTGAAGAGCCACTCGAAGGAGTCCACATCGTAGCGGTCTTGGTGGAGTGCCGGCTCCCTAAAAGGACTTTCGGGCGGCAGTCATTTTCTTTGGGGGTTTAGGGTTTAGGGTTTAGGGTTTAGGGTTTAGGGTTTAGGGTTCATGGTTAAGGGTGCCGAGTCTGTTCACCCTCCCCCCCAATACCAGGTATTCCCATGACAGTTATATGACAATATAGATATATAGATGTGGAGAACATTTTGCTATGGTTCACGGTCCAGGGTGGACCTCTTCGAAGAAGCGCCAGCCCGATGCTGTCTGGCAGCCTCCAGGCCTAAACTGTTAGATGCCACTTTTATGCCTCAGAGCCCTGCGCCCTTCACCCTGAGCCCTACACCCTAAACCCTAAACCCTAAACCCTAAACCCTAAACCCTAAACCCTAAACCCTAAACCCTAAACCCTAAAACCCTCCTCAACCTTAAGTCCCCAAGCCCCAAAGCCCAACGCCACGCTCCCGGCTTCTGCGGTCATGGCGCGGGGCTTCCTCGTACCGCTGCTGCCCTGGATTCTGCCGCCTCCTGGACTGGAATATAGGGGTTCGGAAGAATTTCTAAGGTTTAGGGTTTAGGGTTTAGGGTTTAGGGTTTAGGGTTTAGGGTAATATGGTCGGAATCATTCCCTGATGGTGGGATTGGGGAGGGGAGGGGAGGGGAGGGGAGGGAAGGGGAGGGGTGGTGGGGGGAGGAGTTATCCGGAGGCTTGGGTCTTGGGTTATGGCGTTCAGGGCGTGTATGGGTTTAGAGGATTTTGGGGCAGCTTTTGCGGCTTTAGAGGTTCTAGGTTTTAGAGGTTACAGCCAACATCAGAATAGAAGATGGATGTCATACAATACAAAGGTACACTGCAGGATATTCGTTTAAGGGTACTTGACAGGCCCACAATATAAGGGGATTCATGATCAAATAGCAGATAAGCTACTTAAGATGCCCCTTTTAGATTTCATGGCCCACTGCATTAATCCAGCTACTCCAGGGGCCGAAAAATCAGAATAGGGTTTTGGGTGTTGGGGGGGTTGCTTTACTAGCATAGTGAGCCAGGACCGAAATCCTGAGCCTCAGAACCCCGAAACCCGAAACTCCCCCAGCACGTAAGCCTGAAGCCCCCAAACTCCCACCAAAATCCTTAGGCCCTAAGCCCCAAACCCTAAACCCCTTAACCTCAAACCCCCTAAACCCTAAACCCTAAACCCCAAACACTCAACCCTAAACCCTAAACCCTAAACCCTCAACCCTCAACCCTCAACCCTCAACCCTAAACCCTAAACCGTCAACCCCACTTGAACACGAGGTTCGGGCAGGCGCTGGAGCTGAAGATCCTCGGCTCGAGGGAAAATTTGCATCTCATCTTCGAGCTCTGGGTTTTAGGTTTTAGGGTTTAGGGTTTAGGGTAGAGCTCCGCGCGCTTTAGCTGATTTTTGAAAAAGGGTCTAGGGCTAAGGGTTTAACATGGTTCGGAGGGGATTAAGGGTTTTTAGGGGCTTGAAGGGCTTTTGGGTTTAGAGTCTTTGGGTTTAGGGTTTGGGGTTTAGGGTTCGGGGTTTAGAGTTTCTCTTCGGGTTTAGGGTTAAGGGCTGTTGGGGTTCTTGGGGCCCCAGGATGCCAACCACCCTGTGGTTGAGGCCCTGAATTCATCGTCAGGTTCCCTCAGCGAAGTCTAAACAAAGACCCGCTCGGGTTTGCACTGCTACAACCAGTATACCAAATCATTCACATGTGGCCGTTGACCAAAATGCCTGTTCCCAAACCCCGTGTTGCTCTTATAAACCCATGTGCGGCCCAAACAGTTTCCCACGGAAGGGCCTGTTAGATCAACCGCCCTTTGTGTTGGGATGTTCGCCCTTATACAAGCAGTCCTTGATAGGGACTATATTTGGGGTACTAGAATCCTTATGAAGGACCCTAAAGCCCAAACCCTAAACCCTAAACCCTAAACTCTAAACCCTAAGCACTAAGGGGGTACTAGAATCCCTATTAAAAGGACTGGGAACATCCCAACCCCTGTGCCTTTTTTGGCGGAGTAGTCAGGGGTGCGGACAAGGAAGAGGCCGACCGTTGCCCTGTGAAAGCCTCTTCAGGGTTTAGGGTTTAGGGTTTGGGGTTTGGGGTTTGGGGTTTAGGGTTGCAGCTGGGTTGGTGGATGGCCCACTGCCACTGTGCCTTTTGAGCCCCAAGAACTACCCCCTCAAACTCTAACCCCTCGCCCTAACCCTAAACACCCTAGAGCCTAAACCCTAAATCCTGAACCCTAAGCACTCTTCTGGTACCTCTTCGATCTTCCCTTTCTAGCCTCCTCAGTGCCTTTCCTTTCCTTTGGCGTCTGTTCTGTGGCGCCTTGTGTGTGCGAGGCCTTCGTGTTGTCCTGTTTGGGCTTAGGGTTCAGGGTTTCCCAGTGCCCCCCAGAGCCCAGGAACGAGAATTTCGATGACGCCATCGGCGCGGGCGGAAAGAACGCACTCGTGCTTTTCTGCTCCGACTTCTGCCCCTGGTGCAAGAACAAGCTGAACGCGCCTCTGCTTGAGGGTGGGGCAGGTATCTATGAGTCGGCTACGAGTAACCCCCCAATGAGGTTGACAAACCAGTTCTAAACGTGGGTACTGCTTATGACCCAGAACCCTACACCCTGAACCCTAAACCCTAAACCCGAAACCCTAAACCCCTAAACCCCAAGGCAACGTGGACACAACTCATGGCCGACTGGGCCTCCTCTGACAAGGCCCTCGAGTCTTCGGTTTAGGGTTTAGGGTTTAGGGTTTAGGGTTTAGGGTTTAGGGTTTAGGGTTTAGGGTTTAGGGTTTAGGGTTTAGGGTTTAGGCCTTAGGGGCGATGTCCGGGCCTGTCGAGACCCCTCCACGCTTCTCGAAGCTCCACACCCCCGGTTAGGGTTCAGGGTTTTAGGGTTTAGGGTTTAGGGTTTAGGGTTTAGGGTTTAGGGTTTAGGGTTTAGGGTTTAGGGTTTTGGGTTTTGGGTTTTGGGTTTTGGGGCTTGGGGCTTGGGGCTTGGGGCTTAGGGCTTATATAGGGTGTAGGGCTTAGGGTTAGGCTTTAGAGTTTAGGCATGCGATTGGCCAGTGAGACAGCCTCAACTCGTAGTTGGGCGAGCATTCGGAGATGGCATGAGAAGGTAGAAGCAGTCAACCATTCCTGAACCCGAACCCCTAAACCCCAAACCCTAAACCCTAAACCCCTAAATCCTAAACCTAAAACATCCCAAAGTTCCCGCAAGAGTTTGCTGGATGCTGAGCAGATAGGCCGCCGTGATCGGGTGGAATTTAGAAAGAAGCTTGCGCCGTTGCAACTTCAACTGGAAATGAATCCACTGCCGACGCCCAAGAATCACCCATACGATTGTGCCAAAAGCACCATGAGGTTTCGGGGTTAGGACTTACTTGAAGGCTCATGTTAAGTACATCTACATCGCCGTGTGACCACCCATGCGCCTGCAAGGAAGCACTAGGCCCTACATGAAACCCTTCAGAAGCCCTAAAAATCTGAACAATCCGAGAAATGGAGGACCTCAGGCCCTACACAAAATTCCTCCTAAGCCCTAAGCCAATCCCATAGCGGAAGGCCCTAAACCCTAAACCCGAAACCCTAAACCCTAAACCCTAAACCCTAAACCCTAAACCCTAGGCCCTAAACCCTAAACCCTAAACCCCAAACCCTAAACCCTAAACCCTAAACAACCCCAGAAATGGAACCTAAGACCACAGGTCTTAGTTGCCCACATCGACTGTGGCCAGCCGGCCTACGACCTCGGCGGGCTGCTTGGCAGGTTTGGTCTGCTGGGCCTAGCAAAAAGGGTCTAGTTTATATAGGTTTAGGGTTTAGGGTTTAGGGTTTAGGGTTGAGAGCTTAGGGCTTGGGGTTTAGGGTTTAAGGTTTATAGAAATTTGTAGGGTTCGTGTCCGGAGTTTTTGAACGAAAGTTTTGAGCGAAAGTTTTGTGCGAGTTTTTTGGGCGGGTTTTCAGCAATTTTTTGCTTTGGATAGAAATTGTATGGGGTTTGTGTCCGGAGTTTTGGGCGAAAGTTTTGGGCGAAAGTTTTGGGCGGGTTTTGGGCGGGTTTGGGGCGGGTTTGGGGTAGGTTTTGGGTGGGTTTCGGTTTTTACTTTAGGGTCATTCTGCCCTTGACATAGGTGAATAAATTCGGCTTCAGAGGCCTGGAGACGCTTTCAGTTGGAACCCAGAGGTTTAAGTGAATTGAAGATTTGGCCTCCCGAATGCGCTTTGGATAAATTTACATAAGCTCGGCTTGTCAGCTGTTTAGACAAATGTCTTGGACAGTTCTCGGTTTGGGCGGCTTTTGGGGCCCGAAACCCTAAACCCTAAACCTTAAACCTTGAACCCTAAACCCTAAACCCTAAACCGTAAACCCTAAATCCTAAACCCGGGCCCCTCAAGGAGGTGAAGCCTGGAGCTTTGGGGGCCCCAAGGCCGGGAGAGGCTTTCAGCTCGAGATGAAGGGCGACAGTGTACTTCCAGGCGATGCTACAAAACTGGTTTGTGAGCTATCCCAAATGGAAATACATACAATTTCCATTTGTCCTGGTCTTGGGGGTTTAGGGTTTAGGGTTTAGGGTTGCCCAATACTCAAGGGTATTTGCGGTAAATCTACCCACTAACCAAGACGACTTCCCTATTGCAGAGGGCACTGTAGGCGGGCTTAGTTTCTAGTTTACATGCAGCCAATATTCAGGGCAAGCTCTCTTTTCTCATGGGATATGGCGCAGTTTGGCCCTACACCTTCTCATATTTTAGTAATGTTTTAGTATGGGTTTACGACTTTGAGGGTTTGGGGTTTAGGGTTGAGGGCTCGTTTGCTGTTTTGTATGGCTTTTCGTTTTAACCTTCACGCGTTATTCGTACTTTATTTCCTTTTGCTGGTAAATAATGCCTAAGGCTTTGTTCGTATGTTGCTTGCTTTAAGTGTAGATTGAGATTTCGGGGGTTCTTTTGTGCTTTGGGGTGCTTGGCTTCGGGATGATTTCTACGCGAACGCCGAAGCCAACGTAAATGCCAAGGCTTGATAAAACTTCAGGGTTTGGGGTTTGGACTCTGCGGGTGCGCCAGTTTCCTTATGAGTGGAACCTCATGGAGTTAAGTTTTCAAGGGGCCTTGAGTGAGGGGCGGGTCTCCCAAGCAAGCCCCCACTCGAAACCCTAAACCCTAAACCCTAACCCCTCAACCCTCAACCCTCAACCCTCAACCCTAAACCCTAAACCCTAAACCCTAAACCCTAAACCCTAAGCCCTAAACCCTAAACCCTCAACCCTAAACCCTAAACCCTAAACCCTAAACCTCGCTTTACCCTTACGTCAACTGAGGCTCAAGTCACCCGGCTCCGTGCTTTCCGTCTGCAAGAAGCAGGGGGTCGATCCGGTCTGCGACAAGGCGGCTGGGGTTTGGGTTTAGGGTTTAGGGTTTAGGGTTTAGGGTTTAGGGTTTGGGGTTTGGGGTTTAGGGTTTGGGGTTTAGGGTTTAGGGTTTGGGGTTTAGGGAGAGTTTAGGGCGTTTAAATATTTAGGGTATTTCGGGTATTTAGGGTTTGGGCCTTAGGGTACCCTAAACCCTAAACCCTAAGCCCTAAACGCTAAACCCTAAACCCTAAACCCTAAACCCTAAACCCTAAACCCTAAACCCTAAACCCTAAACCGTCTGGGGGTTAGGGTCTGCGCAGGCGGCGGGGCATATCCCGACGATCAAGTATTTCGACACGCGGCGCGGCTCAAGGTCTGGAGTTGCGGCTGCTCCCCAACCCTAAACCCTAAACCCTAAACCCTAAACCCGAAACCCTAAACCCTCGTTTTAGGGTTCAGGGCTTTGGGGTTGAGGGCTTTACGGTTTTAGGGTGTAGCGGTTTGGGGGTTCTCAGGGAATTTTAAGGGATTTAGGGCGCAAGGGATACGGGCCCCTAGATCGATGTAGCAATGGTTTCCATGCCGAGGCAGCAGGCGAAGTGGTTCAAGCCTCTAAGCTGCAGTCATATGGAAGAGACCTCGGCGTCTGCGATGCGAAGTCCCCCAAAAAATACCCCTAAACCCTAAACCCTAATGCCCCCCTGGGACGCTGGACCCCCGAAGCCCGAGACCCCTACACCCTAAACCCTAAACCCTAAACCCTAAACCCTAAACCCTTCTAAGAAGCCAGTGCGCCTTTGAGCCGAGGTACAAGCGAGGGTGGGAAGCCGCAGAATTGGAGGGCTTCATCCAGGAGCGCTTGATGCCGAGGTGCGACGTGCACACGCGGGAGCACTGTGAAGCCAAGGACCCGGAGGGTTTAGGGTTTAGGGTATAGGGTTTAGGGTTTAGGGATATTAAGCCGCGGTTTTTGAGGGGTCTGAAGGGTTAACGGGGTGTCGGGCTCTCCTGTGAAATGCAAATATCATGCATCTTTATATATTCTTCAAGTTCTACAAACTTGGAGGGTATTTTGTATTTCGGCTCCGACAGCGCATGTTCTGTTAAAGTTTTCTTCCTCGTGGGGCCTTAGCCTCGGCTCCAGTAGAGCCCCCGTCATTCTTGCTAGGGAGCCCCGGTGTATGGGTGATTCTCTACATGACTTGCCCCTTCTGGGCCCCCTACTTTTATCTGGAACCTGAAAGGGACCTCAATCTAGAGAACCTCCCATAGGATGTAAGGAAACATACCTTTGTTGCGGGGTGCGCGCGCGCGTGAGGGGGGGGGTAAGGGGTTTAGGGCATGGCCATGTGTCAGGCATCGGGCTTAGGGTAGAGGGTGGCTTGGGGTTTAGGGTTGAGGTCCAGGGTGGCCACAGCATTTGCGGACGAACGCAGCGAAGCATCTTGAAGGACGTGGCCTACTTGGAAAAGCAAGCCGGGAAGAGCAGAGAAAGCCTTGTGGCAGAGGAGAAGAGGCCAGGACCTTTAGCAATCCTCGGACGTATCCCACCGGAACACAGCACGGCGGCACATGTCGCTTGCAGTTCGTGTTCAGACCAACCGGAAATTACAGTGTTGCTCTCTTGGTCTCTCTCTCTCTCTCCCTCTCCCTCTCTCCCTCCCTCGCTCTCTCTCTCTCTCTCTCTCTCTCTCTCTCTCTCTCTCTATGTGCACGCCCGAGAGTAGGGGTTCTAACCATGAAAAAAACGTTTTTACAATGACAAGGGTTTCTTTAACGATGATAGTGGTTTAGGGTTGGCATGATACTGGCTAACAATGATAGTGGTTTAGGGTTGTTGGCATGATAGTAGCTAACAATGATAGAGAGCCAGTCAGCCCGAAACCCAAATCTCAAGTGGCCCAGAGCCAGGCTGCAAGGGATGAAATCCCAGGGCAAGTTCAGCGATGAGCCGCCCGGCCTGTTCAGGGAATCCTGGGGCCAAAAACCTAGAGCCTGTAGAGCAGGGGTTGAGGATTCAGGGTTGAGGGTTGAGGGTTGAGGGTTTTAGGGCTTAGGGCTTTAGGGTTTAGGGTGTTGGTTGAGGGTTGAGGGTTGAGGGTTTAGGGTTTAGAAGTAACTTGGCAGGAATGCAAACCTTTCTACGAAACAGCCCTAAAGCCTGAACCCTAAACCCCGAAGCATGCTGATATTTGAAGGCTTGCAGGTTGTGGCTTAGGGGCCCGTTGTGGTGCTCTACACTATCACGGATATGCTATAGAAGTGGCAAGAAGTTGCCCAATGTGTGAGATCAACGTGCAGAGTTCAGGGTTGAGGGTGTAGGCTTCCAGGTTCCTAAGCTCGACCTGAAAGGGCCGAGGATTCAGGACTCAGGGTTCAGGTTTCTGTGGTTTGGGGGGCCTTCTCCCAGGCAGCGCAACTGGCTGAACAGGCGGATCAACATGATCAAGCAGCTGTCCAGCCAGGGTGCTCAGCAGGAGCCGTGGCTTTGTACCTGAAGCCCAAGACCCTAAACCCTAAACCCTAAACCCTAAACCCTAAACCCTAAACCCTAAACCCTAAACCCTAAACCCTAAACCCTAAACCCTAAACCCTAATCCCCAACCCTTGGGATCCCCAAACCTAGAACCCACGCCTTGGTTGATAGGGAATAGGGGTTTAGGGGTTGTGCTAAAAATCCTCGAGAGACGAGCCCATAAACCCTAAACCCTAAACCCTAAACCCTAAACCCTAGACCCTAAACCCTAAACCCTAAACCCTAAACCCTAAACCCTAAACCCTGAACCCTAAACCCTAAACCCTAACCCTAAACCCTAAACCCTAAACCCTAAACCCTAAACCTAAACCCTAAACCCTAAACCCTAAACCCTAAACCCCCTAAACTCTGGAAACAGGCGCAGGAGGAGAACGTCGAACTCTGAGCCGATCCAGCGGAGTGTACAAAGATTCAAGGTTTGGGGTTGAGGGGGTGTAGGGGGTTTAGGGTTTCGGGTTTCAGGTTTAAGCTTTTAGGTGGTTTAGGGTTTTAGGCGGTTTAGGGTTTAGGGTTAAGAATTAGGGTTTAGGATTGAGGGGGGGTGTACGTAGCGGGTTTAGGGTTTAGGGTCGAGGGTCGAGGGTTGAGGGTTGAGGGTTTAGGGGGTTTAGGGTTTTAGGCAGTTTAGGTTTTTGGGTATGGGGTGCTCAGATAGAGGTTGGAATCCGGATCCTGTAGTACTAGGAACTACTCCATGAAGAAGGAACCCTCAACCACCCAAAACCTCTAAACCCCAAATCCTTCAACCCTGAAACCCTGAACTCCAATCAAAACCCAAGACGCGTAACCCCAAAACCCCCCAGACCCCAAAGCCAACCCTTCGACCCTTAGCATCCCTACACCCATAAACCCCTACGTCTCAAAAGCCCCCCAACCCCCCTTAAACTCGCCAACCCTAAACCCTAAACCCTGAAAACCCTAAACCCTAAACCCGGAACCCTGAAAACCCTAAACCCTAAACCCTAAACCCTAAACCCTAAACCCTAAACCCTAAACCCTAAACCCCTAAACCCTTTCAACCCCAACATGGACCCCGGGTCGGCAGCAAAGCATCTGTCGCTTACTTCTCAGAGAGACCAGTCTCCATCGGCGAGAGCGAACAGGTTTTGGGGTTTACAGGGTTTAGGGTTTAGGGTTTAGGGTTTAGGGTTTAGGGTTTAGGATTTAGGGTTTAGGGTTTATCGGGCATTGGATTCCCCCCCCGCCCCCCTCCACAACTCCTCATTTACCATAAGCCGGCTCGTCCTGCAAGTCAGCTTGAAGGTGGGCGCGGGATTCTGAGAGGAAGGACGTGAGGGTTTGGGGTTCAGGGTATAGGGTTTGGGGTATGAAGGTTCAGAGTTCAAGGTTCATGTGTCACGACGTACTAGTTCTGCTTCATCTTTCAGGGAGTCAGGTACATTAGAGCCCCTAAAATCATGTTTAGTTGAAGGGATGATATGGGGTACCTAGTTGCCTTTTCCTTGCTGCGAACCACGAAGTACAATGCCAAAATCCTCTCCTGTTCCGCTCGTGTCTGAGGCCAGGGCGTATGGATGGCCAGGCACAGAGCTTTTGCTGGCCTTCTGGCCTAAGGGAGCAAAAACCCTAAACCCTAAACCCTAAACCCTAAACCCTAAACCCTAAACCCTAAACCCTAAACCCTAAACCCTAAACCCTAAACCCTAAACCCTAAACCCTAAACCCTAAGGGAGCAAGGGGGAGGGGCGTTGTAGCCTGAACATGGCCGGTTAAGTTCTCATCACAGCTATGTTAACAGGAGGTCGAGCTAGTTACCTTGCTGCTGTGGCGGGCTGCCCTAAGACCCTGAACCGTGTAACCCTAAACCCCAAACCCCAAACCCCAAACCCTAAACCCTAAACCCTAAACCCTAAAACCGTAAACCCTAAACCCTAAACCCGAAACCCTAAGCCCTAAACCCTAAACCTTCTTAGGGCAGCTCGCCACAGCAGCGATTCAACAATGGTAGCGTGCCAATTTCCGCTGGCACATCAACCTCCCCCCCCCCCCCCCCACACTGTGGTTGCCGCCCAAGATGACTCCTGTCCAGAGCCCCTAGCCACAGCCCCAAAAACCTGGACACTACCTGAAGGTTCATAGGTACTTATTGCATAGGTTTAGAAATGCCACAAGTATGTTTAGAACCAGTTCTAGCTACAGTTGCCCACCTGACAACCCCAGGTCCCCCGTTGTAGCAACCCATGAGCCACCAAGTGAACTGCGACAGCAGGCAACCGCTTGGGAGCCTTTGCGGGCTCTCGATGAAGGCATCATCCCTGGTGCAAAGCCGTAGGGTTTTCGTCCCAGAATTGAAGAATTGTATTGCTTGCGATGCTTCCTTGAGAGTAGGGCAAAGTTTTTTGCCCTGGCGCTGCTGCGGATGGTCGATCGAATTTCCAGTTTCCCAAACCCTAAGCCATACCCTTGACCCTCTGAACAAGGGCCTGAGCGTACCTTTATGGGCGTATTCAGGGTTTGTGAATGGATGCTTGGGGGAGGGTCCAGGCAAACCTTAACCATAGTGCTATTCTTGTTCAAACCCTAAGCCCAGAACCCTAGACCACAAAACCCTAACCCTAGAGCCCTAAAACCCTACAACCCTAAAACCCTAAAACCCTAAAACCCTAAAACCCTAAAACCCTAAACCCCGAAAACCCTAAACCCCGAAAACCCTAAACCCTAAACCCCAAGCCCCAAACCCCAAACCCTAAACCCTATAACCCTGCCTTCTCTTCCTGACGCATTTTGGTACCTTGCCGCAATTTTTGGCTCAGCGCGGGGCAACCTGCCCCGCGTTTGCGGCGGCCACCCGAGACGGGTCGGAGAAAGGCTTTTTCTTTCACTCGGGATGAGGACTCAGTGTGAGGGGGTTTAGGGTTTAGGGTTTAGGGTTTAGGGTTTAGGGTTTAGGGATGAGATAGTTTAGACACACCCCCCGAAAAAAGGACGAGCTTAAACCAAGTTCGACAAAGTTCAGAAGCCGCCAAGTTTTTCAAAAGAGCAGACGTCACACGGGCCCGCCCTTCTTCCGTGCCGACAAGCAACACGCCGTGCCCCCGGGCCCTTCCTAGGACCCAGTGTAAGCCCTTATCCCTTTTCTTTGTTAAAGGGTGTAGGGTTCCTTCAAGCCCCCCCCCCCTTTGAACCCAAAAGTCTCGGGTCTTCATGTACACGTTTTAGCCCTCTTCTTTCCTTTGCCTGACTCCTAAGCCCGAAGCCCTAGACGCTAGACCCTAAGTCGTTTGGGTAACTATTGCCAGGTTCCTGGCTTCTCTAAGCCCTGATCCCGAAACCCTAAACCCTAAACCCTGAACCCTAAACCCTAAACCCGAAACCCTAAACCCTAAAGGGCCCTTTCTTGGCAATCCCCAGCTTGCGAGAAGTCTCTGGAACCAGAAGACTCGAAGCACCCATATCAGCAGGGTTTCAGGGTTTCCGGGTTTCAGGGTCCCCTTGCAATCCTGTTTCGTTACTATTCCGAGGACCCGGAGTAGACCCTTATTTCCTTTTTTAGGGCTGGGGTTCCCTTGTAATCCCCTAGAGTATACCCAGAGCACCCTTTTGCCTAAGCTTATAGAACAGGGTCCTTTGTTTGGAGGGGGGGGGGTGCAAGCAAGCAGTCCGATGGACCCCTACAGGCCCTTGATGCCCTTTGAGAGCATGTGCATGAGCCCCAAACCCAAAACCCGAAGACCCTAAAACCCTGAACCCTAAAAATAACCCTAAAACCCTAGACACGAAGCCCTAAAACCCTAAAACCCTAAGCCCTAAACCCGAAGCCCTAAACCCTAAACCCTAAAACCCGAAACCCTAAGCCCGAAACCCGAAGCCCTAAACCCTAAACCCTAAACCCTGAAACCCTAATGCCCTAATACCCTCGCCTCCGCCGAGGCTTGTTCCAGCGGATGGTAGGCCACGCGAGCGAATCTTTGCCAGACCATGAGTTCAGGGTTTACTTGGAGTAGGGTTTAGGGTTTAGGGAGTAGGGTTTAGGGTTTAGGGTTTAGGGTTTAGGGTTTAGGGTTTAGGGCTAGGGTGTAGGGTTTAGGGTTTAGGGAATGATAACTGTGCTTATGACCCTTTCATATCCCTATTAATGTACTTGAGGGGTATCTAAGTGGGTGATAACTACACTGATATTTTGTTGCTAAGTACCCTGAACCTCCAAGTAGCTGTAAGGGTACAAAGGGTGTGAGGAAAAAGGGCAGAAGGGTGTAGGGGTGGTATAGGGATTGGGGTGCGGGGGTTTGGGGTCTGATGGTAGAGAAGATGGTGCCCCAAACCCTAAACCCTAAACCCCAAACCCCAAACCCTAAACCCTAAACCCTAAACCCTAAGCCCGAAACCCGTGGCGAGCTGCCCTAATCAGACCCTGAACCGTGTAACCCTAAACCCTAAACCCTAAACCCTAAACCCTAAACCCTAGACCCTAGACCCTAAACCCTAAACCCTAAACCCTAAACCCTAAACCCTAAACCCCATATCAAGTTCCTTCCCAAGAGCGCAGCCGCCCGAGCTTTCAGGAGTGGGCCGTGGACGAGTTTAGACAGCGCTTCAACGAGCTGCCGCACCTGCTGAAGGAGCTCGTGCCGCAGGGTTCGGGTTTAGGGTTTAGGGTTTAGGGTTTAGGGTTTAGGGTTTAGGGTTTAGGGTTTGGGGTTTAGGGTTTAGGGTTTAGGGTCTAGGGCTTAGGGTTTAGGGTTTAGGGTCTAGGGTTTAGGGTTTAGGGTTAAACACCTCTGAATTCAGGGATCCCCTTCACATCATACCAGGCAGGCTGTTACTGTACGCAATTCCCCTCCCAAACAAAGGTGCTGCGCATCTCTACCTCTTGTCAGGGTGTTAAGGGTTACAGGTTTAGACTTGCGCGAGGGAGTTTCCAAAGATTGCGGTACCAATTCTGGGGGTCTTTGTAAATGGACTACACCGACCTACAGGGCATGCTAGGTAGCATGCAGATGCTGAAGACTCGTGCGGAGTAGCGGAGTGCCGACAAGTGTCGTTTTCACTACTCCTGCTAACGGAGTAATCCATACACCGTTTCAAAACAGAGTAATTCGTTAAGCTTTGGTTCCGGAGGAGGCCCGCAGACTCACCTGTGTCAGCAGTCTACCCCCTGGTTCTTACTAGGTTCTTACTAGGGAATGAGGGAATCAGGGCCCTATTTATACCCCTTTAAGGGATTATATAGGGCTCTCACTCCCTCATTCCCTACCAAGAACCAGCCAGGCTACGGGGAGGAGGGCGGGGCGAACTATTGGCCTGGTACAGTATGCTCTCTTTGGAGCATAGAAGGGGGTTTACGATAACAAGGGGACCCCAAAAAGAAACCCCCACAAAGAGTAGGATCCCCTTAAAGGAAGGACCCCCAAAAAGGGTACCCCCGACTATCTTCAACCCCCCATTTTAAAAAATAGGCATGCGTAGTATTCTTCACTGGGGGTATACCCCTCTGGGTTTTTGTTTATATAAAGCCTAAGAGGATATTAAACATACTATGTTTATTCAGGTTCTACGAAGAGTGTAGCAGTAGGTAGACGATGTCGCACACCCGAGCGTCCAAGTTCACCCTAAACCCTGAACCCCAAACTCCAAAACCCAAAACCATAAACCTTAAACCCGAAACCCCAAACCCTAAACCTTAAACCCCAAACCCTAAACCCGAAACCCGAAACCCTAAACCCTAAACCCCAAGCCCCTAACCCCTAAACCCCCTAAAGCCAGGACCCGTGCCTCCTTGCCAAGCTCTGGGAGGGACGGAGCTGGCAGAAACCACGGGATGGGCCTCTGAAAATCGAGGTGCGCCAGGGCTTTGACTTTTCTTCTATGTATTTATTTTAGTTTTTTTGTTTTGAGGCATTTTTTTAAGGCTTTTAGGGTTTTGAGGGAATTTGTTCTTTCGGTTTTAGGGTTTTTACGATTTTGGGGGCCCCGGTTGGATGTTGGGGGTCTCGCGGGCCGGAATCCAGAGCTTCTGCGTCAAGGGCATTTTTTGGGCTCCAGGATGAGAGCCCATGCCCATCGATTGGGGTTTAGGGTTTAGGGTTTAGGGTTCAGGGTTCAGGGTTCAGGGTTTAGGGTTTAGGGTTTAGGGTTTAGGGTTTAGAGGAGGTCGACACCACTTCTTCATGCGAACCCCCCTATACAAGTAGTTCATTTCAAGGTGTATTGCTTCAGGGCTCTCTGACATGTGTGATGAAAGACGTGCCCCAAGCCCTAAATCCATACCCCTAAACCGTAAACCCGAAAAAGACAGAAAGCCCTGGGGGCTATGGCCCTCGTAATCTCTCAGAAGCAAACGTTACGCCCATAAAAAACGGGGGGGAAGCGTTCCTTGGTCCATCCACTTAGTAGCTGAGTGAGCACACTTTACACTTTTTTGGATACTATAATCCCCTCTAGACCTAACTAAACATGTACAACTTTTCTGGGGCTTACGAACTCAGCAACTAAGTCCACCCTCTTTTAGATTGGGTACAAGGTGACCCTAGGTACAGGGAAGCCGGGCTTCCAGGCGCCAGATGGGGCCTTAGGAAAATGAGGGGAGCGCGAATGCAGACCCCCCCAAATAGTAGGATTCCCTTACAATAACGACCCCACAAACTCTAAGCCCTAAGCCCTAAGCCCTAAACCCGAAACCCCAAACCCCAATTTCAGAAACCCACAAATCGCCCTTCCAGCTCCAGAAGCTACCCCCCCCCCCCCCCCCCCCCCCCCTGCCAGGAGTCGGGGAGCTCCAGAACTCCCGACTCACAGCCCAGGTCGGGCCTAAACCCTAAACCCTAAACCCGAAACCCTAAACCCTAAACCCTAAACCCTAAACCCTAAACCCTAAAGCCTAAACCCTAAACCCTAAATCCTAAACCCTAAACCCAAAACCCTAAACCCTAAACCCTAAACCCGAAACCCGTAACCCGAACCCGTAACGCGAAACCCTAAACCCTCAACCCTAAACCCTGAACCCTAAACCCTCAACCCTAAGCCCTCAACCCTCAACCCTAAACCGTAAACCCTGAGCCCTGAACCCTTGAACGCCCTAAGCCCCTCAGCACCAAACTTCTCAAATCCCAAACCCCTGCACCCCGAACCGACCCACGATCCCTCCTTCCGCCCTCTCGGGCCCGAAATGCACCAGAAGCCCGAAGTACCAGAGTTTCGAGGGTTTAGGGTTTAGGGTTTAGGGTTTAGGGTTTAGGGACTCAGGGTTTAGGCCCTTGAGATATCTTCTGTACCCATTGGGGGCTCAGGATGTGTCTTGTTCCAGGCA